GTGTTTTTTTTTTGGGGGGGGGGATGAGTTGGACTTGAACGCTGCAAAGGCAGCTCAAGGGGAGAGATGAGGGTAAGGGATGGGCAGTGGATGAGAGCGAGGAGGGTGTGTGAATAAGGTGAGAGGGAGCAAAAGGGTGTGGGAGGGTGTGGGAGGACGGTCAATGGCGGTGGTGTGGTGAAAGCTCAGGGTTACTTACAGCGCTGAGAGGGGACGACATCGTTGTAGTGTAATGGGATCAGGTACAAAGACGCAAGCCAGGAGGAGTACACGATGACAAGAAGGGCGGAATTACGTCAGTTGACGATGGTGGTGTTGAGGAGGAGGAGGGGGATCGAGAGATGCAGGCAAAAGATGAAGCCTGAGGAAAATAAGCTGGACGAGGATTGTTGTGGTGTTGAGGAGGCCGAAGATGTGTGTTGAGAGAGTCAGTAAATTGTATGGCCCTGCAAATAGCCCCTTTTTCCGCGAGCCTTGGCAAGCCCTGGATGTCCCGGAACGAGATTTCTGGTTCAAACACCGCACAGATTTCAATTCTGGCCTGCAACCTGTTACTGTACCGGCAAGCTACGCTTTGGAAAATATAAAAACTAAGTTAGGCTCAAAAGCTTCATTTCGGTTCTATTGTGTCCATTGTTTGGCTTCGATTCAACGGTATTGCATCACTTCCAATAACACCAGACATCACTAGACCTTAGTATGGTACTTGTACTCGTATGATATCCCATACTAAGAGTAACACGTAGGCTAAATCCGCACTGATTTTCTGTGCTGCAAGTAAAATAGGATCAACAGTGCGCTCGAGCTCTCCCCCTTAAAATCCTCTGTCCGGGTAACCCCCCATGTCTCAAAATTCATCTCCAGAATTTTAACGCGTGTGTGACATCAGGCAACACCGACTAACTTCGTGTGGCGTCACCCTAACTAATTGCACAACGGGCTTGACAGCACTTCATCGCGAGTCAACAAAGGACAACGAGCGATGAATAATATCCGCGCTATCGAAAAGCTGAACCAGCGGGAGCTGGAAGCTGGCATTGTATGTTTAGCCCTTAATTCACCAGAACCCGAGTCTCTCCAACCACTTGTTAACCTGCTTAAAGCCATTATCCGCCTCCTGGCATACCGACTGGTCCGATACCGCATACGTTTACATCGGCGGCCTTCCATACGAGCTCAGCGAGGGCGACATAATCACAATCTTCTCCCAGTTCGGTGAACCCGTTCACGTCAATCTTATTCGTGACAAGGACACTGGAAAGAGCAAAGGGTTCGCTTTTCTCAAATATGAAGACCAGCGAAGTACAAATCTTGCGGTAGACAACTTGGGTGGGGCTACAATTCTCGGGAGAATAATTCGGGTGGATCATACCAGATATAAGCCGAAGGAAGGAGAACTAGAGGAGCTTCTAGGCCAAGGTTCAGGGCCGAGGGATCGAGATGATGGCGACGATGATGATGAGAGTGAGCATCACAGCAAGAGAAGAAGGGGCAAGGGAAGGGAAGATATGCCACCACGGGAGATGCTTCCGGAAGAGATTGAACTACAAAAGTTAATACGGGACCACGATGAGGACGATCCAATGAAGGAATACCTTGTGAGGCAAAAGAAAGAACAAGTCGAATTGGCTCTTCAGAAGTTGAAGAGGGAGAAGAAGTCCTCGCACCATCGGCGCGACGGTGACAGCAAAAGAGATCACCGACACTCCCATAGACACAGGAGCCGTTCAGAGGGGAGATCTAGGCGGCACAGATCTCGTTCCAAGGAGCAAACGCACAAGGAGAGAGCCTCTGAAGAACCGAGCAGGTCTCAGGAAAGGGGCAGGGACGGCCGAAGGGGAAAATATCATGATAGAGATGGTGGTAGAGACAAGGGCAAAGATAGGGATAGGTATGGGGATTGGGATGGGGATAGGGGCGGGAGCAGCAGACTGGAGAAGGAGCGAGGCCGGGACAGATTTCACAGAGATAGTGGACACTCTTCCAGAAGAGAGGGGCGCCGGTATGATGACTGATACATGATGTCCTGGATGTAATATAGTTTCTAAAGGGAATGTTTCATAGCGCACCATTAATGCTATACTTGAGTACCTCTATTGCTGAAAACGAGGAAAATCCAGAGCCCAAGAACGCCATTGAACATGCTCACTCTAACACATGCACAGAGATAGCTTGCGATCGCCTAGCTTTCGTCCATCTCTTCGACCCCATCTTGTGATGGAGGCAATCCCACCTGACCCCGTAAACCCTTTATGATGTTCATCAATCCTTCGCAGGCTGGGCTCTCGGGGTATGCATCGAAAAAGCTCTCGCCGTAATCACAAGCAATACCAATTCTAGGATCCAAAGGAACAGCCCCAAGGAAAGGTATGCCCATCTCAGTCGCCAAAGCCCGACCGCCTCCAGTAGTAGCGTGGAATATTTGTGACTCACCCTTGGGTAGCCCCAATGTCAGCAGCAAAACGAGCAATACCCCCAGAATAGAAACCAGGAACATAAAAAGGGTATATAACGTACCTCGCAATTGGGGCAGACAAAGCCACTCATATTCTCCACAATTCCCAACACCTTAATCCCGGCCTTCCTGCAGAAATCAATCTCTTTCCTAACATCCAACAAGCTAACCTCCTGTGGCGTCGTGACAACAACAGCTCCATCAACCCCACTGCCCTTCAAGTAGCTATTTATACTCAAATGCTCATCGCTAGTTCCCGGAGGGGTATCAATGAGCAAAAAGTCTAAATCGCCCCACTCGACATCCTTCAAAAACTGCTTGATCAATCCATTCTTCTTAGGTCCCCTCCAAATAATAGCATCATCCTGGTTTGGCAGCATAAACTGTATGCTCATGATACCGAGATTATCCGCTACATATACCGGTGACCACCCCGAAGACGAAGAGTGAATAGACTCGTTCTCAGCACCCATCATTCGTGGTATTGATGGGCCGCATATGTCGATGTCGCAGACACCTACCTGTGTTTTAGGGGACTGGGCAAAAGCATATGCAAGCATAGTGGTAAAGGTAGATTTTCCCACACCGCCTTTTCCGGAAAGGATGAGGAGCTTATGCGCTACTGTTGCCATGCGCGCTTGAATGAGGGGAATGTCTAGGTCGGGCCCCTTGGGAGCTGTGGCGCAAATCTGCTGGTTGGGGCATCCAGCGCAAGCGTCCATTTTCCCTGCCTGCTGGCTCTCGGGTCCAGGACAGTGCTCTGTTGAACCGATATATATGTTAGCTATTGCCTTCACAGAGAAGCATTCACCGGGTTATTGGCGCACCTGGCTCGGGGGCTACAAGTTTTGGAGCAGCTCCAGAGGGTTGTGGGACATCTTCTGACGCCACCGGAACTTTGAGAATGACCATTGCGCTCAGTTCAGTATTTATCACCGAGTTTTCTGACCCTCCTCAAAGGTAGCTTCTCAAAAACGAGTTGTTTCGTTGGTGTTGTAGTTAGGAGTGAAGGGTTCTACGGTACGGTACCATACGGCACAGTGCGAAGTGGGGTGGAGATGGGGGATTGATAAGCACACGGAAAGCTCCGGAAACAGAAATCCCGTGACCTCGCTACAAGAACCTCGTGTGAAATACGGCACCGGTACTCGTACAGTACAGTACAGTACGAGTACTGGTTTCCTCATTACCAAGTTTAGGTACGATGGGTTCTTGCATAGGTGATATGGCAAATGCACTCGGCTTTAGTATGGCTCCGTAATTTAGTTATCATTAGATGGCCTATCAGCTCTTTTGGACAAACGGTTTTTTCTTACTCCGTAGGGGAGATAAGGAAACACATAATGTGATAATTCCACCCGGGGCTAATATCAGAGGCATCGGTGCGGAGCCGAAATACAGTATGCAATTGCAGTCGCCAGCAAGAAATCTACACCTTGCTCGACTCACACACCTTTCACACCAGAGCGCTCATTTCCACAAGCCATACGGTTGGTTGGTGTATTTCCACTGTAAATTAGGCGAAGTTAGAACAAGCTGTAAATCAGTCCAATTGCAAGATGACTTACCAATTTTATTGTACCGTCTTCAGAACCTGTTGCGTAGAGCCTTCCATCCGGGGAAAAGCTGACACTCCATATACTTCCATGATGGCCCTTGTAAACCTCGAGCTCAGTCTCAGTATCATAGTCGTAAACCCTGACCCAAGTATCTGAGCTTCCACCTGTTATAAAGCGCCTAGTTTGTTGATGAAGTGCTACAGAAGATACTTCGTATGCTGTTGAGATGCTCTTGATCAACTGCCTGCTCTGCGCATTAAAGAAATACACTGTCTTTCCAGCCGTTGCGCTGATCAAGTTTCCTTCAGGACTCAATTCACAAGATCCAATGAGCTCATCGACATCGAACTTTGTCACAAGCTCTCCAGATCTATTATCCCACCAACGCAGTTTTCGGTCATCTGATGCTGAGAGGATGGTGTTGGGGTCCGACCAGACGATAGACTTAATAGTTCCTGTATGAGTCTGAGCACCAATTTCCATTGGCGTTTCCGAATGTGCCAAATCGTACACCCGTAACCTTTTCTCCTGACCACCGGTTGCAACATGTGTAGGGTTTGGCGAGAAGGTAGCCGCGCGAACTATATGGTTGTGTTGGAGGGTTTGCAAACATTCGCCGGTAAAGGTGTCCCAGATTTTCCTGTACGACGGTTAGAGACAAATATTTGTGCCGAATGTTATCGGCTCTTGACTTGTCTCGACTTACGCAGAGAAATCGGCAGAAGCGGTAGCCGCTAAGGCTGCATCATTGGAAAGTCTCGCCTGCCACACGGCACCTTTATGGCCCAAAAAAGTCCCAATCCTAATTAAAATATCATCAGATCTCACCGGGGCTTTCGGGGCCAGAAACCAAACTTACCAATCACCTGTAATACCATCCCGAAGCATTGGATTATTATCTGAGCCAGGGTCAGTATCAATGTCCGATGCCAAACAGCGCTACATGTAGATCCAATGTATGTTCTGACCTTTGCAAGCGGATATTAAATAGTATTCATCGTCTGCCAGCATGGGCGAAAAGGAAAGATGGGTGACAGGCCGAGAGTGACCATGGCAAGTTAAAGGTACAACTCGAGGAGCTTCTGTAATACAAGGTAAAGTCAGAACTTGTTTTTTTTTTTCCCGTCTAGTCAGCGGATGAAGGTAGAACGAACGAATCGGGCCACCATTCGAAGATTGGCCATCATTTGGTAAATTGACGGTTGGGGATCCGGAGTTCATGTTGATTTGCCAAGGTTATATCGAAGGGGGCGGGGGGGCAGAATATGTGATATTGCGAAAGACAATGAGAAAAGCTTCTGTCGTTGAAATAAGAGGGTATCAGTTACGGTGATGATGGTTGGACGTCCTTAATTCGTGGGCAAAAAAGATGTACAGAAAACGCAATGTGTAAGTGTTTGAACGATGTATTTCGTGATGAGAGGTTCTGGTTGGTGAAAAGCAAGGCAGACGACAGGGGAAGAAGTATGACGAGCAAATTTAATTGTGGTCGTAAATTCGTTAAGTTGGACCTTAAGGGGGTCCTGGTGCCTGTTATTAACGGCGATTTAACAAAGGAAGTTGAGGGGGATAGAAGGAAGCAGAACGGGGAGGAGAGAGAGAAAAAAGGGAAAGGAAGAGGAGATGTCAGAAATGGTGAGGCCAGAGAAGTAGACGATGGGGGAAAGATAGATAGGAGGACGGAGAGGTGAGCAGGATGTAATTGAGAAGTAGTGTGTGTATGTACCGTATTGCTATTGCTATCGCAAAGTATAGTATGATACTGTGCAGAAGGGAGAACTGAGAGGTGATTGAAGGAACCTCAAATGCTCAACCTTACTTGCAGAAGGCCAGAGAGGGGAGGATGAGACGACGGGCGGGGCCACGCATCAACGACAGGCCAGGAAACGCCAGCGAGCTTTCCGAAAGATTCGAGTTAAGAAAAGCCTTTCCAGGTCTTCCCTGTCCTCGAAACCGCGATGGTCCAAAAGAAGTTTAATGGAAGCTGCCGGTTAGCTGAGCTAGATGTGTGGCATGAATCGGAAGCCTCATCCTCACTTCTTGTGGCTTTATTGATCTATGCACTTTCAACGTTTCCTCCTTTTTTCGCTGCGGAAAAGGAAAGGGGTTCGCCCACTGTTTGTCCCGTCGTTGCAAATTATCCGCCAAGAATACCAGAGAAACCGGTCCGGAAACCTCAATCATTCCTATAATCGCAGTGGCTTGTCTAAAGCGATGGATTTATCTACCCCAGTTGCTTAGGTATCTTATGCCACCTTTATGATTTTCTGTTATAATAATATCCCGATGCATGAAAGTCCCAAGGTTGATAGGGTAAAACTCTATGGATGGATGCCGGTATTGGAAGAAGGCTTAAGAGAAGAACTATCGTTCTATAAGTTGAGAGAGCTTGTGTTATATCATACTACTCGTATAATATAGGTAGAACACAAGAGTTTCTGGCGTTAACATCTTGTGTGTGAGCAGCAGTGAACATGAAATTCCGAAAACGAGATTTGGTATTCTATTGATAGTGTTGTGGCGGTATCATACGTACGATCGCACTGGAGCAACCTTTTCCTCAGAATGTTCTGCCCTTTCCAAAGGGGAATTCTTATAATGACATTAAAAGAAAATTGGCTATTCGAGTGATCATGCGTGCACCCTCGCCAACTCCTACTCGAGTATGATTTGTCGAGCCGCTTGTTCTGGTGGAACCAGATTAGTAACACAACCCTGGATGACGACCCTGGTTGCCCCTCCTGCCCCACAAGCTTATATTGGGCCTCTGTGTTTAACTCACTTTTCCATCTCCACACCCCTAGTTACCCCTCTAAAGAAAGGATCAATGGCTAGTATATACAAGCTTACCGCAGCTCTACGGGGCCACGAGGACGATGTGAGTAGCTCCGGGCTCTTGTATCAAATTCTGTTTTTTGATCCCCGAGTTTGCTGAGAAAGGAAAAAAACTACGTGGAATGCCTAACCCCCATTTATCCAGGTTCGCGGTGTCGTTTTCCCTTCTCCTTATTTTGTGACTTCTGTATCTCGAGATGCTACTGTTCGACTATGGAAACGTGAAGATTCCGATGGGACTGTCTTCTCGGACCACATCAACTCGACTGGCTCCGGATTCATTAACAGTGTTACTTTCATTCTTCCAACGGAGGAGCATCCTAAGGGTCGGTAGTTTCCTGATATGTTTTAGGGCTAAAAATTAATTAGTGGGTTATTTAGGTTTGGTTGTTAGTGGAGGCCAGGACACCATCATCGAGGTTCGAGAACCAGGCTCCAAAGATACAGACGATGCAAAGTACCTGCTCTTAGGTCATACGCATAATGTTTGCGCGTTGGACAATTATGCGGGCATCATAATTTCGGGATCCTGGGATGGGTGTGTCATACTGGCATCTCGGTTGCTCGGGTTTGGGCTAATAGTTACTTAGTACAGCACGTGTGTGGAAAAACTGGGAAAGCCAATATGTGTTAGACGGCCATGACCAGGGAGTGTTGGCGGTATTAGTCCTTTCAGGGACGGATGTGGTCACTGGATCGGCAGATAAGACAATACGGATCTGGAGGAACGGAAAAACCATCAAGAAGATTGAAGGTCATACAGATTGTGTGCGTGGATTGTGCAGGATGCCAAATGGTGGATTTGCCAGCTGTGCGAATGATGGGTAACCAGACCGGTGCAGGTGCCTACCAGTAGTTTGTGAGCTAATGGTACTTTGACGCTTTAGGACTGTTCGTATGTGGTCATCGGATGGACATCAGTTGCAGGAATTACATGGGCATACAGCGTTTATATACTCTGTGGCTACTTTACCTTCGGGTGAACTTGTTTCTGCTGGGGAAGATCGGACAGTGAGGATTTGGAGAGGTAGGTTTATATGCCTGAAGAGTCCATGCGATTCGGGAGGACATCTGGGCTTACTGGATATCCAGACGGCGATTGCGTCCAAACGATAACCCACCCCGCCATTAGTGTTTGGTCTGTTGCTGTTTGTGCTCAGAATGGTGACATTGTGAGCGGGGCGAGTGATCGAATTGTCCGAGTGTTTTCCCGAGAGGAGAAGAGATGGGCAGACGAGGGTGCATTAAAGGTAATACTAATAATTGAGTTTCAAATACCATATATTTACTAAAATATTCTCAGGCATTTGAGGATAGCGTCGCTGCCTCAACGATTCCATCGTAAGTTCCTGGGTGGCTGAGGTGCCGACTATTGGTTTTAACGAATATTTAGAAATCAAGTTGGCGACGTAAAGAAAGACGATTTGCCTGGTCTCGAGGCTCTAAGGCAGCCGGGCAGGAAGGACGGCCAGGTAAGAATTTTTGCAGCTAATCTGAAGCGACTGCTGACGTTAATATTAATCAAAATAGGTGCTTATGGTGCGCAATGGGGAGACCGTAGAAGCCCATGTTTGGTCCAATGCGGCAAGAGCGTGGAACAACGTCGGCACGGTTGTAGATGCTGTAGGTTCCAGTCGTAAGCAAATGTTTGAGGGTAAGGAGTACGACTACGTGTTTGATGTCGATATTCAAGAGGGGGCTCCTGCATTAAAGCTGCCGTATAATGCATCTGAAAACCCATTTGAGGCCGCTAGAAGGTTCCTTGAGGCGAACGAATTGCCAATATCATATCTTGATACTGTTGGTCAATTTATCGTGAAAAATGCTGGTGGTGTCGCTCTTGGGGTGCAAGAGCAGCCCGCTGGCCCAGATCCATGGGGTATGGAGAACAGGTATAGGCCAGATGCGCCTACTCCCCAACAGGCCAAGCCGAAGCGCATTCCGCAGAAGTCATACTTGTCAATCACCGCAGCCAGCCTGCCAACTATCCAGAACAAAATCAACGAACTAAACAGAGAGCTGTTGGACAAAGGGGAGAAGGATATTGCGCTTAACCCCGACGAAACGTCTGCACTTGCTAAATTATGTGGGTCTCTTCAAGCTGTCGCCTCTCCTTCATACAAGGCTGGCACACACAATGCTAGCTTTTCAAATGGCCTTGAATTGATCTCCAAGATAATCACCAGCTGGCATCCGCAGAGCCGCCTCCCAGGTCTAGATCTGTTGAGGTTAGTAGCAGCGGCAACCCCATTGGCTGCTACATACGAACCAATGAATGGGCTCAAGGCCGGCGACATTCTTGAGACATCAGGGGCGTTTGATATCAGCCACCCGAACAATGTCATGTTGGCAACCAGGACATTTGTGAATCTCTTCCAGACCGAGGAAGGCAGGGGCTACATGGATAATCGATTTGAGCGGGTTTGTATTTCAACTATTTTCCGTCCTTAAAAAATTGCCCTTCTAACACAAAACTTTTACACTAGACTATCCAACTCGCCGAGAAGGCTAGCGCCGGAACAGCAAATCGGAACCTTAAGATTGCGAAGGCCACACTCCTCCTCAAGTAAGACCAAAATCCCCCGGGAGATGCTGATTCGGCCCGAACCCTAACTTTATCTATAGCTACGCAGTTTTGATCACTTCAGAGGGAGCGATCGACCGCGCAATCACACTTCTCGAGCCCCTGACAAATATAGTCAAGAAGGAGATAGATTCTGAGACCACATTCCGTGCTCTTGTGGGCCTAGGCACACTTTTGACGCTCCAAAAGGAGGTCAAGGAGGCAGCATTGTCGGTTTACGAGACCCGTCAAACCGTCGCTGAGGCAGAAATTAGGGTTAAGGAGCCGAGGATTAAGGGCTTGGCTACTGAGATTAGGGGATTGCTTTAAAATTGTTTTTAGCATCGGGATGTGTTAACTGGTGGTTGGGGTTTCATTGAAGCACCTTTGTACGATCGAAAGTTTGATGCGATACCGTGGTTTCTCGAGGAATAAGTTGGCATTCTTGGGAGCTTTACAGCTGGTGTTCGTGTTGGCTTTTGCGGCACCCTTTATTATCTGAATCCTTGAGCAGTGTGATTAGTGGTAAGGTGGTGAATCTGAATTTAGCTTGAGTATTTTTACCTAGTTATCATATCTAGGCACGAATCACATGGTATCACTCGGTAGAACATGGAAACTCGAGGTGTGATTTTTGCTACTATTTCGGTTATGAGAACTAGACCCATCGAGATGGAGGTGGTGTTGGTCTGTTGGATGATGGCCACTGAGTGGGAGAGGAGTGAAGTCTCGTTGTGTGGGGAGAGCGGCCCATAGTCCTGAGTAGACGTGCGAAAAACGAGAATGGCACTACATATCTGGGAACGCGTATATTTAGTACGATATGTTAGTCCACGCATGAATCCCTACTTCGAATCTACAGGAACGCACTGATTAGTGGGGAACCCTTGACCACGATACTCAATCCACAGTATAACTAGACTCTGGGACGTTCTTAATAATTTCGGGTATTCGTCTATGTGGTAAATGATAGTGGAGGGTGCCGAACATAGATGGGCTCTGAACTAACTCACATCCGCTACTGCAAGTCCGGGGTAGCAGTCTAGCAACACGTCCCCGCCGCTGGCTTGGCGCCGTGGTACTGCCAATGCCGCCCCCGGGATGAATGGTAGTCCTTTTTCTGCCCTCCTCTCCTTCCGCTGATAGTAGGGAGAAATGGAGGGAGGCTGTATTTAGTATGATAGTATCGTAGGTCACAAACAGCTTAAATAGAACAGCCCTCCCTACTCCTCCATGGAAGCTCAGATGTTACAAGGATCCATGCCAGGTATCGTTCTCATAGTCAGGAGTGCGTTTAGCGGTGTAGTGATATGGACATATAACTATCGAATATGCCTAGATAGACTATACTATACCAAAAACACGTGCTCCGACAGACTTGCGAGTGAGAATTAGTTTGCGAGTGAGAGAGTATGATTAATTAGTATGTTTTGTTCACTCTTCGCATACCGGGGGATTGTAGGCGCTGGGAGCGCATATAGCTAGTGGGGTAGATGCTCCTACCTATTCCGATGGGGAGGGGCGAGGTGTGAGTTAAAGCGCAAACACACCGACCAACCCCATCCGAGGCACCATTAACAAGGGTTACCCCCGGAATAAGCCCGAGAGGAAACGGATGGGCGGTGATTTGTCTGCTCGCGATGCCTGCGCGGGGAGAGTATCGTATCCGGAGGGGCAGGGACAAGTAGAGTCGGGTGAGTGAAATGATTCTAAACAGTCGTCGTGATGAGGATTTAAGTTTGGGTGCAAGGGACGAAAAACCAGTGTATGGTGCTCGACACTCGAAATCGGCCAAAAACCGACACGAGAGCTATTTTCGAGGTCTCCCAAACGTAACCACATCTCTAGGAAGATATGGTACTTGAAAGAAGTGCCCGGAAGACACCCCTATCTAATTCTATCCTTCCCGGTTCTTCCCAGAGCAATATTGGTGGAGATAGTAAAAGTTTCGAATTGCCCACGTATGACTGTTTTCGGAGTCACATTTTGCCGGAACCCCACTGTTTTGTGTGTCTTACGTGCGCAAAATTAGTTTTACAGACGAGTGCTGATTTCAAGTCTCCGGCATCACATAGAACTGCGGACCTAACATCCCCTCAGCAATCGCCCAACCACGAGTGACCTTCCATGCATGACCTTCTGTGGCAGGGCTGATCACGTTCGACCCTTAATTTATCAGGGTAGCACAAGTCACCCGAACAGAAAGCTCTCCGGCACTCCGCCCCGCTGCATATCCCTCCCTCGTGCACGTCTATCTACGATATAGCGCCAGATACCAAAGACCGGCCGCTTCGTTCGCTCCTCTTTCTTACTTTCTCCACTTAGTAATACATGAATGAAAGTAGCCTTGCAATACCCATAGAGTTGTATGTGTGTTGAGCTCTTTCGAAACGCCCCTCCTACTGTTCCCCGACGAACACCCAATATTAAGCATGGTTTGAGCGCTTCAAGATGCACACCAGAATTTTAGGGGAAACTAATCTGATAATGGAGCGGGGACAAGAGGTGCAAAAAGCCGAAGGAAAAACAAACCATTACAGGATACCGGTAGGGGAATGAAGAGACTCAAGGAACTGCTTTTTTCTTCTTCCGAAATGTGAGAGATTGTTGTTGGCTCTTGGTTTGGACTTTTAGTCTTTTTCAACCCATATTATCAATTACCCTGAACCCTAAGCGCGATGTAGACCCGTTTTAGACCTAATATCATAACCAGGTTCCGGGATATTAATTCGTGACTTGTATCATAATATTATCATACTATTAAGTTATATAATAAGATTATTATGATATAAATATGTTCCACCTCACCGACCAGGAACTCGACTTTGTGGATGAGATATGCTCTCCATAAAGAAAAACTTTACCTATCCCCTCAACGAAGTAAATTTACTTCACTTTTAATAGTGGAAGAATAAAAGGTTTATCCATCCATCTATCCGGTATCGGCATCTCACGCCCTTTCCGTGGAATGACGCAAACGTTGGGCGGGATCTACAGCCGAGTGAGGATATGTGATACGGGGTCTTTCTTCTTCTTCTCCCTGCTTCATTACTTGTGTAAGTTCCCTAATGGTGGTATTATTATTGGGGGGGGGGTGATCATTCTGCATTTCGATCGATCGATCTTGGGATCCTGGTACGGTGTGGAGGTCCCCAGACTCCAGTGGGTGAAGATGTGTGGGAATTATAGTACAAGGTATCAATAGCGGGATTATGTAGTGTCTAACTTATGAGAGTTTATTTGTTTGTTTGATAAGTCGGATCTGGCTGACAATTGGCTAGCTAGTGGTTATTGAACGATCGAGTAGTTAAAGATCAATGGTTGCGCTCTCCGCACACTGGTGGCCCCTCCTCGACTCCTTACCCTCTGTGCTAGTTAGGGTGGGAGTACGGACGGTGTGGAATAGTGGTTTAAACGAAATGAAATTTGGGGAATAAGGTTGAACGTAAATAAGGTAACATGGAAGTGAATAACGCCTGCTCTACAAGGCAAGAGATCTTGAATACCGGTATGCACAGGAAAAGAAGAAAAAAGTTATGAATAAATGCCGTTACAAACACTGCCCCCGCACCAGCTTGGAAAAAAAAAAAAAAAAAAAACACAGATGAATGAAATAAAGGAAATCCCTAGCTATGCATACAAACTAATTGTATTAAATCGTTTTCCGAACAGATAAATAAAGAGAAAGCGCTGCTTGAATAGAATACAGGACCCAAAAGTGACCGGTGTAGTAGGGAGAAAGGCCAAGCTATTTAGAAGCCATGGAAGGATGCGTCATATTTCTCGAACATCTCATCGGTGTATTCATCTCTCGCGGTTGTGGGTGGTGGGTCGTATTGGTCAAAGTACCTGGTGTCTCCTGGGTGCCGAAGACTTGGTACGATAGGACCCTGGATAATTCCGTTAGCGTGTTGATGTTATTGTAGAGACTGTGGTGAGTTGGAACATACTGGATGAACCTGGTTCTCTAATTCCTGCCAATGGACGCTGTCAAAGAATGGGTGAGCCATGACCTGGTGTCCTCCTCCACACATATTGCCGAGTCGAGCTGATAAATCTTTTGTGCACAATCTTCGCACAATATCCTTGGTTTCTTCGGGTAGTATCGAAGGGAAGGATATCCGTCCTGCTACAATTTTCTCGTATATTGCGAATGGAGAATTGTCGTAGAAAGGTGGAAAACCACAACTCATTTCATATATCAGAACACCTAAGGCCCACCAATCAACAGCTTTACCATGACCTTTGCTTTGGATGACCTCCGGGCTCAGGTATTCTGGTGTTCCTAAAAGACAAAAAAAATGAAATCAGTATCCCGCTTTGGTGGGCATATGATACGGATGTTAGAAATCACCACAAAGTGTGTAGGTTTCCCCTGAAGAAGAAGTAATAGGAATTAGTTTTTTGTATCCTCAAAGCCCAATGATCTCGCGACACTCACTATCGCCCACAACTTTTGCAAAACCGAAGTCTACCAGTTTGACATGTCCCCGTGCATCCAGCAAGATATTTTCCGGTTTCAAATCCCGATACACGATGCCGTGATTATGTAGGAAAACTAAGATCATGGTGATTTCTGCGGCATAGAACTGGGTAGTTTGAAAATCGAATCGGCGAGCCCGTCGTAAATAACCAAATATCTCTCCACCTTTGGGAACCCGTACATGTTAGGAGCTGAGATAAGAGGCCCGGGGAGATACAGAAAATTGAACAAGAGGAGAGTAAGCACCGGGTGAGTATTCAAGCTATATACAAAGGTTAGCCTGTTAATGATCCCGCTCTACTTGGGCGATACGCACGAGAATGTATAAGGAAGCACGATCCTGCCATGAGCAAAGGTAGTGGGTTATAAATGGATGAGGCCGACAGACTTCTAATATCGATCTCTCATTGAGGACCTAAGATGATTGATCAGATGTGGTGAGAAGGGCATCGTGGCAATGAAAGGCTATGTAACGCACATGTTCACATTGCTTCAGCCGGATAACTTTTCGTCACACCAACCATTAGCCTCCATTTATTCCTGCCATTAAATAAAGCCGGTATTTCTTACTATCCACTTTCTTAAGTTGCTTTAAAGCAAACAGGGGCGCATTCTCGGTTGGTGGACTGCCCCTCGGTCTCACTAACCACACTCGAGCGAATGTCCCTGTACTTTATCAGTGTTAGATTCAGATACATATATATCGGAAGGCCCAGTCGGAAACAGGCAAATCCTTTCCTACCCCAAAGTAGTCATTAAGTCAAAGTCCTCGACAGATGGCGGCCTCTGGTCTACATCCGTCATATTGACCTCTTCACCGCCTTCACTCCTCCCTTCTTCCTTGCGTGTTGGTTCCCCATCGCCATTCCCGAAACCTCCTCCCTTCGCTTGACCATTCACAGGAGGTCCCCCCGATCCCACTTGTGTAGGGCCTGACACCGGTGTATGTAGTGAATCGCTTTGAAAGTCGATATCCATACCGGAATCAACCTTGTCGAGCTCTGCAATCGCTGGTCCCTCGTCTAGAAGCTTATCAGGGGGTGGTGTCGGAAGGCTTAATGGCGCTGCCGGCTGTTGCGCTGTAATCTCCATTTTTGTTTTGATGGTTGAAATAAAGACTTCTGATGACGGAGGTTGGGTTTGTGGAATTGATGGGGAGATTTGGGTCGGATAAGGGTTTTGTTTTTCCTTTTCAATGCATTCTATGGAGCATAGGGTAAAACCGGTTTGCAGACCCAAGTTATTCTAAGGTTGCTCGATCTCCCCACAGGGCAGCGGCCACACAATGTGGCGGACGCGGGTCTTTATGTACTCTAGGCGCTGCTGGTTAAAGTTACTGGCACTTAGGGATCGTCTCCCTTTTTTCCAACTCTCGCGTCACAAGTAGTCAGGGGGGTTATCCCTATTGTAGGGTAGGGGGGGGGGACTCGAGGGGAAGAGGGGGAGTAAACGGGCAGCGGGGCAGACCGACACCTATTATAGACAGTAGGGAGCTGATGGTCTGGGACTTGTAATAATACTTGCTTGCACGACATGCGGTAGGTTTTTTTCTCCCCCCAAAATATACGGATATCGTTCTTCCACACTCAGTAACTCAATACGGGGGTACCAGTGACAGCACAATACAACTGCACGCTCCAGTTTTGAGCCGCAGCGTTTGAGGAGCGAGATCGAAATATGATAGGCTATCTTGGCCCCCAAGTACCGCACCATAAAGCACAACTGCTGAGATTAAAATAAAAAAAGGTGGAACACAGAAAATATATCATGCGTACCCCAGCAGTAGTGCTGTACAGTACAAGTACGTCCAGATGGCAGAGGAAGCGTCATACTGTGTAATAGATACATACCGATCTACGGTACCACAATACCCACACTCTACCAAGGGCGGTGAAGGGACATCTGACGGAAGGAGAGCGTGAGCGCAATGAGACGGCGTCCCATTCTCGTGCCGTAGTCCACCATTTTTTCGAGCCAGACATAGTCCATCCGCCCATATGATTCACTGCTCGAACAATAGTGCCATGGTCTGCTGCTACCCTCTTTGCTCGTCCTGTGGCCCCCTTCAAAACTGATGACGGTCAGTCACTCCCGCTGTGAACTCTCTTTTAGCCAGCGGGTAGGAAAAAGTAAATACTGTGGTGGGTAAATGTGAGATAAAATAACATGTAAGCAAAATGAGAGAGATCGAGAGGGCAAGGCATAGATACTGCACGCAGGAGGGAATGTACCAGTACCGTAGGAAAACACCCCATTATAGTACCGATACAGATGAAAAGATACTGGTAGTTTGCTGGCCGAGATGGTTGCCAAGATCCAAAAATGGTTTTTTAGAACCGATCACCCCACCTGTTCCTCCCTGTCTCAAAGGGAGAGGAGGATCGAAGAGGGAAAGCTCTTTCTTTTTTGTGTTAATCTTGGTTCCGCAGGTCATCTAGAATAAACACTCTGCAGCCAAAATACCACAACCAGGATCTCCCCTCCTGTCTAAGTAGACTAGATGTGCAATGGTGCACATTACCATTAATCGGGATCAGAGGGGAACAGGGCCGGGGGAGTGGCTTTCGAGAAACCAAAAAAGGGCAAGAACATAACATCAAATACCAGTACGTTAAAGGTTTGCTATCCTCGATCTTAGCCCACAGCACTCGAATGAAATTTATTGTATTTCGGAGAGACCGCAGGCGGGCGTTCGGCCAGGACTATCTCTCACACCTGTACCCGTTACTGTGCCTACAGCTCACTGCATAAGGCACTGGGCTGTTCCTCTTTGAAATCAGTTTTTTTCGCCTACCGAACGCAATAACACTTATCCTTCATGATGCCATACAAATAAGCGCAAGTGGAGTGAGGCACCTTGTGGTCAATGTGTGGGAAAGTAGGTTTGCTAAGTCAAGATCTGGAGATAGAATGATGAAAGCGAAACGGCACCTATGAAGCCTCAAAATCCCCCATAACCCGCTTACCTTGCCATCACCGCTGCTAGTTCCCATCATAAAACAGAATTACTGGCCTCTTTGCCGTTAAACAAAAACCTTTTTGAAAAAAAAAAAACCCCCCTTTGCTAGCGTATCATAGAAGAATTTACAGCATTATAAGTTACTGTATCAGTAGGCTAGCATTATAGCCGGGTAACGACCCAACTCAGCTTTACCCAGTTCTCTGGTCCCCACCACCAACGAATTCCTCGTTCAGCACCGCGCAATCAATCCGGAGTGCCGTTTCCTATCCCCTAACCTCAACCCTCCTATCAGTCTCACAACTCTGTGCCTAAACATCTCCACCCGATCCCTACCCCTCCGCTCCCCTCCCTCTCAAATAGCTGCATGTTTTTTTAGCGTCGAAATTGTACTTCTGTTTGTACTCTCCTCCCCAAGCTTTGTCTTTTCTCTCTCTCGTCTGTAAAGGCTTCCGGCCGTCCTTCCTAGTTGTTATATGCATCAGCCATACAATAGGTACCCTTTGGCCGCTAACATTTCTTCTTCTTTCCTTCCACAGATAGACCTTCTCCGGAACCATGGGAGACCATCAACAAAACCAGCGGATGTACCGGCCTCCTTACAGTCATACTCCGGCTTCGCAGCGTGATGCTGCTTTCTCAAATATTTTTGGCACTGCTCCGTCAGGCCGTTCTCAGACTATGACATCTCAATCAGCTATCTCGCCGTTAAGTGGGCGTTCACAAACAATGTCCTCCCAGTCGGGAATGTCCGGATACATCAGTTCATCTCGTCAACAGCTGCAAGGATATCCACCTAATCAGCAAGCTCCCCCTAATGCTTATCATCATCCGCAATCCAACCCCAGTTCTAGAGGGCAATACCAACCCCAGAATTTACCTCAGCCTATGCACCCTGAACGGAGACCATATGCCCAGCCAATGCGTGTTCAACCCCCCGGAGCTCCCCCCCCTAACCCAAACATGTCAAAGCCAGCTCCCCACAGGTATTATCCACCTCCGCCTGCTCTAAATGCAGATCCATGTCGTTCCAGGTCCATGGCAGCAACGTACTCACCTTCCGGTGGACCGTCGGGACCACATTTCTCTCGTCCTGGAGCTGGACTGCCGGGACCTCATATGTCTAGAACTACGGCACAGGGAAGGATCGTGCCGGAGAGGCATGACGAGCGGACCATGTCACTGACCACATACCCTCATGATCGGGATTTTTCTCAAACCGCGAGCGGGCGAGTTATCCCTCACCGGCGAAAGGATTCTCAGGAAAGCCAGTATAGTCAAACCAGTCAGTATCGACGACAACCAGAACAACAGCGGTTTAACACTATGCCAACCAGGGAAAACAATTACGTCTCTAAGCAACGGACACCGAGCTCTGCTAGTACCTCTTCGAGCATTACGGCGTTTAGCCCTTCCGGACCACCATCTATTAAGTCATCTCTCACGGATTCTACAATTGTGTCAAGGCCTTCAACAAATAATCCTGGGTCTCCGTCTGGAAATGGCACCTCCATTCCTGTGAAGCGTACACCGCTCGTATATCCTGCTCTGTTGTCCCGAGTCGCAGACGCCATGCGAGAGCGCATAATTGTTGGAGATCGTGTCAAGAACGAGCTTGCATATAAATCGGCCTTCACTGGTGCAGAAGCTGTTGATGTGATTTCTTATATCATTAAGACTAGTGATCGAAGTCTTGCCTTGCTTCTAGGAAGGGCTCTGGACGCCCAAAAGTTCTTTCATGATGTCACCTACGACCATCGATTACGAGATTCACAAATGGAGGTGTACCAGTTCAAAGACGGTTTACTTGATGATGACAACGACGTCAACGGTGTCTTTACCCTCCTCACGGAGTGTTACTCACCCACCTGTACGCCCAAGCAGCTCTGTTACTCAATCGCTTGTCCTCGTCGTCTCGAGCAACAGGCCAGACTGAACATGCAGCCACGGCCTGGTTTGAAGCGAGAGGAATCTCGGTCGAGTTTGCATGGAGACGATGACAAGGAACAGAAGTTGTGGATCCATACAGTGCCTAAGGAGGTTGCGGAGAGCGTATCAGAGAAGGAGAAAAAGAGGCAGGAAGTTATTTGTGAAGCTATCTACACCGAGCGAGATTTCGTGAAGGACTTGGAATATCTTCGAGACTTCTGGATGAAACCATTACGCTCGACAAATCCTCAAAACCCCTCACCCATCCCGGAACACCGCCGCGAAAGGTTTATTCGCACAGTCTTCGGAAACGTTCTGGAAGTCCATAGTGTCAATTCTCGTCTTGCAGAGGCACTCACTCGAAGGCAGCAGCAGTCTCCGATTGTCCACAACATCGGAGATATCTTTCTCGAATTTGTACCCCTATTCGAGCCTTTTATCAAGTATGGTTCGAATCAGTTGTATGGAAAATATGAGTTTGAAAAGGAGAAGGCTGCTAATCCCAATTTCGCTCGCTTTGTGGAGGAGACGGAACGAATGAAGGAATCGCGGAAGTTGGAACTCAATGGCTACCTCACCAAACCGACAACCCGCCTTGCCCGATACCCATTGCTACTGGAGGCGGTAATGAAGCCGACAAGTGATGACAACCCCGACAAGAAAGATTTACCAAAGGCCACTGAGCTTATTCGAGAGTTCCTCACGAGGGTAAATATCGAATCTGGGAAGGCCGAGAACCACTTCAATCTTATGCAACTCAATGAGCAATTGATCTTCCGACCCGGGGAACATGTCGATCTAAAACTAACTGAAGAGGGGAGGCAATTGATTTTTAAGGGAAGCCTTAAGAAAAGCGCAACACAGGATGGTGGTGGAGATATTCAGGCTTTCTTGTTTGATCATTCATTACTCTTGGTCCGAATAAAGTCAGTCAACAAACGAGAAGAGTATAGGGTGTACCGAAAGGTAAAACTGTTATCATCCTTTCCTACTTCACGGAGAAAACTAACATATTTCACAGCCAATCCCGCTTGAGTTGCTTGTCATTGCTCAAATGGAAGAAGTTCTACCCAGGGCAGGGATTCCAAAACGCCCGTCTTCAAGTCTTATCCCAGGGACTAAGGCTATCAAGAATATCCCTAACGATTTTAACTCAAAGGAAAAGGGCTACCCCATCACCTTCCAACATCTCGGAAAGCGTGGTTACACCGCTCCCCTATTTGCCTCCTCAATTGTTAGTCGAAGGAAGTGGATCGAGCATATTGAGGCACAGCAATCTGTGCTTCGAGAGCGTAGTAGCATATTTACTCGAACAATACTCTGCGATGACTTTTTCAATGCAGGAAACCGAGTGAGCTGTCTTGTGCCCATAGGTAAACCCAGTTCCCTCTAAATGTGTACTCTAATGAAGTTTAACTAATATCCTCGGATCAGATGGCGGCAGAAAGCTTGTTTATGGCACTGACAGTGGCATATATGTCTCTGAACGGAAACCAAAAGAGGGAGCATCTGCGGTCCCGAAAAAGGTGATTGAAGTCAATAAGGTTGATCAAATTGACGTTCTGGAAGAATTTTCAATACTCTTATTGCTTTCAGAGAAAACACTCATGTCTGTTCCTGTTGAGGGCTTGGACCCCAGCGACACTACCCTTGCAAACAAGCGCCCCAAGAAGGTGGCAGGACATACAAACTTCTTTAAAGCTGGTGTGTGTCTTGGAAGAGTGCTTGTGTGTTGTGTCAGGAGTTCATCATTGTCTTCAACGGTCAAGGTCTATGAACCCATGGATACCCTAGCACGTGGCAAGGGGCGGCCGGCTTTTCGAGGACTCCTACGAGGTGGACAGGATACACTGAAGGCATTCAAGGCTTGTATCCCTATTTTCGTGCCTGATTGATACCTACTAACCTTTCTTCTTCTCTTTACTCTAGGAATTCTACATTCCCTCTGAGTCAACCTCAATACACTTTTTGAAGTCCAAACTTTGTGTGGGATGCTCCAAGGGGTTTGAGGTTGTAAGCCTGGAGACATTGGAGGCCCAGTCGTTACTGGATCCCGCAGATACGTCACTAGAGCTATTCCAAAGGAAGGAAAACGTCAAACCGATAGCCATCTATCGATTGAATGGCGAATTCTTGTTGAACTATTCAGACTTTTCCTTCTTCGTTAACAGAAATGGGTGGCGCGCGCGACCTGACTGGCAAATTGCGTGGGAAGGGCAGCCAACTGCCTTCGCTTTCTCTTACCCTTACCTCCTTGCCTTTGAACCCAGCTTCATCGAAATTAGGAACGTGGAAACTGGCGGGCTAGTTCACATAGTCACTGGAAAGAACATTCGCCTCCTCCATGAGTCTACTCGTGAGGTAATTGAGTTTCCTTTCCTACCGTCTGTCCCTGATGATACTGATTGTAGCCAGATCTTATATGCTTGCGAAGATGAGGGAAATGGCGATGATGTTATCGCATCTCTGGATTTCTGGTCCCGGCAAAAGATCTAGATGGCAGCCAATGCGCAATGTGGAATTGGTGGACCAGGGAAGCGGCGATGACACAACTTGTGGTTCTATAAACTTCGAAGACGGATAATGGGTGACCTTTCCTTCAATAATTCATCGGCCTTAAGAATGTGTTCTTGTTTTTAGGCTTTGATTTTGGGTAATAATAAGGTGGTATTAAACCCAAGTAATTATGTCCGTGTTTTTCTTCTCTTTTGTACTCAACAGACTCGGAGGAAAGGAGCGATGAGTTACGATGGACAGGGCTCTCTTTTTCTAAGCAGTGAGGGGGGAGGCTGGGTGGTGGGGTGGATATTTCCTTCCCCTTTCCAAATTTCATTTTTTCTGTTCTGTTGGCGTTTAGCTCTGGACCAAGGCATTCTCAAATAGTTATTTTTTGACTTCCCTCCTGTTTTATTTTTTTATCCTTTTTCTTGCCCTCTACAAAATATATACCCTTTTTTGCCACAATGTTTTTCCAAACATGCGTTGGATACTTGAGTGAAAGTTTTCTTAGAAACAGAGGTGACTAGATGTGGTGTCTTCATAGTGAAAGGTGTGGTTTGCTACCGTAGTTTTCTCCCACCTATTGTGTCGACTAGGTAAGGCCATTGATACCAAGCGGCATTCGCTCTGCATTGGTATTGATTGCTGGTTTAGCTGGCCAGTCGGTTTATGCAGGGAGTATTGTAGTGCGCTGTGACCATGAATTGTATGATATTAGACCCCAACAAAACTGCGGTTGCGGCATCAGGGGAACCTACTTATTTTCCGTCAAAACTGTTCTTTGCTAAATGCGCATCCGCGATTCTAGTTCGTGGCTCGAATCGAAGCTCCACTGCCATGATATCATATAAAAGGTATCATAGTTTGTGAACAAATGGGAAATTTTACCAAGTGATACTCTGCGACAGTATGTAAAGCGGGAGGAGGTGTATCCATCTGCTATGGTTCAACGCCCTAAATGAGCTTGAGTGCCCATGTCTACCCATCTATCATATTAGAGTAGAGTTTGCCATATCGTTCTTCCATATGTCCTAGATCAGTAGAGCGTCCGGAGCGGACGACGGGCAGCAGCAGACTTCCATGGCTCTAATGAGACTGCTTCCCTTGTGTTATTTATTTAATAATAGTAGTCTAGCTCAAATAGATGCCGCTTATCTAGGCTTTCGGACATGACTATGACTGGCCAACACGTATCATAACATCTACACCTGGTGAGGGATTCTCAGTCAAATGGCAACCACCAGACGAGCCAGAAGGGGCAGACGTGGGGGGACCAAGAGGTGAGCGAGAATAATAATAATAAGGGCTGGATTCCTGATAATAGAAGAGATGGCTGCATGTTAGCCCGTGAGCAAGTTGCGTTTTATTTATTTTTTTAGGTCGGTGGAGAGTGAAGTAAACTGGTAATTTATACAGCTCTCCATCCACAAACCAATAGTCCCCGAGTGACTTTGGATGACGCACCTGCATTAGTTTGGTTTGCGCCACGGTAATGGTAATGCAACTAACTCCTCGTGACCGGGACCTAGTACCGCCGAATTCTGATGAAAGTAGGAGAATTACATTCAGGAGCTCAAAGAGTTCCATTGATGGAATATCTTATCATAATAGGAGTAAATTACCAGTATAGTTGTAGTAGTTCTTTCAAAATGGTTTTTTTTTACACAACGTAAGGAACGATAGACACCCAGAGAGAAAGAGAGAGAGAGATGGCACACGCCCAGGCTTCCCACGAATTCGATCCCTTGCAGTTCACGTGATTGATATCGTGCGCAGGTACCGGTACCGGTACGTATTATCATAAGAGCTGGCTGCCAGATGAGAAGAGATCGGCCCGTCCCGTCCCGCACCCGTCCCGTTCTCCTTGCTTTTCTCGTGAAGATCTGCTTAGTTCCCCCCCCCACACCCACTTACCAAGCTCAAATGTCGTACCGTACTACCACTTCTTGTTCCGTTTTTCCTACTTCGTAAGTCAATTTATGGCATTGCACACACACACACCACGCGTGCTCTTTTCTTCTTTTTTCCTTTCCTTTGATATTGTAAATTCAATACGGTAGTCGACTGTATGGCCCTTACTTGCACCATACATATACCATGTTTACTCTTATATGATACCACCGGTGGTGTCTTGTATATCTCTAGGCAAGAACCGAAATACCCCCTCCCCCTCCCCGATAACCCGGACAATAGCTTGACCCAAATCAGTTGTGTATAAGACAATTCTTGCTGTGTAAAACGACTAACCTAGCACCGAGTGGTGCATGAGGTGGATATTCACGTTAGTATTCTGGGCCCTCTTTCTGGCATCATACAGCACATCTATTCCTCGGTGCAAGCCCTTGTTTTCCCTCGCAGTCCCAGTCCAGGGGCTCATCCGACACTTGGCGATGGCCTAAATTACAGGTCAGATATTGCATGATCGAGAAGTCCTACCGCTTTTACGAGTAAAGCTGCTGCCACTCTGCGAGTATTCGGAAAATATGTCTATGGGTTCGAGGTCAGATAACGGGAAAATCGCACTGGAGCCCAAATTTCGCCCGCAGAGACTCTGTAGTCCATCTCTGGCCAAGCTCTGGGCATGGAGACACACTGTGCATGCATGCCCGGAGTCTCAGCCGGAAAAATATTAGTAGATTCTCCCATCGGATACGCTCTTAGCTCCGAATTCCCATTGGGAAATTAACCAGCAAAGTCGCTCATAAGGCGTGGAATAGCTGGAATCAAACTCTTTCACACCAGCTACCCTGACCCCTTCTTCCCACTTTCACCGACCCTACCTCCCGACTCGCTGTACCAACCAAAGCTCGGCCAAGTATGCCGAGCAGTGGAATTCCCAAGGTGAGGGGTAAGGTATCACGTGGACAGTCAAGTTCAGATATACACCCAACTGATGCAAGCTACATACAAGTGGACTAGAGGAAGCTCCATCCCATAGCCGGTAATGCCCAAATACCGCAAGCATGTACGAGTAGGCAAGTCCTTACAATAGTAGTAGTGTTCCAAACCCTATCGTACCTTCCATCCCTCCCTCCCTCATGGGAAACCATTAGATACGGCATTTGTATCCTCCGCCCACCAGGTAATCCTATCCAGACCTCACTAATTTACCACTACCGTGCAGCACCAGACTGACACTTTAAAACCCTCCACCAAACCACAGTTACACCAGAAGCCACATAATAACCGCTTCCCGTCATGGATGGTACATCTCCTCTAGGTGGCTTTTCCTAGTCCATGTCTCGGGTTTCGGGCGCCAACATTGTGCCAAATACGGGCAAGGCTTAGGCTCGCGGTCCTGGGATTCGGAGATGGCGACATACCGCCGCCATGATACCGATCTTGCATTGAGAGTCGTGGAACGACCGAATGAGACCTGGTGAGAAACAGTGGTACGGTACCGGTAGGTTCACCATGTTCAATTACGGTTTTTTCCAGTTTTCGGACTACGATATTTTTCTTGTGCTCTACAATACGTTGCCGCACTCTCCAATCTGCAACTCTCTGCGTACGGTAGCAGTACGGCGGTCGAGCAGCAGGAGAATACCGGTGATAGCACTGCACAAGCATCAGTCATCATCACCAGTCACACACAAAAAAAAAAACACTTTGTTCAATCACAGCTCCACACTTCCCCCATCCCCCTCCCCATGTCTCACTTCCCCACCCCCAACCCACTCCAATCGCGCCCACACAAACACTCACCCACCTCATCTCGAGCGATGCCCCCCAACCTCCAACCAAAAGTTAAAAACAACCTAGGTACCGGTACCTGCCGGAGAGTTATCTCCAAGGTCTCACTCGCTCGCTCACTAACTTCCCCCCACTCCCCCTCCCCCCCCCCAAAAAAAAAGAAAAGAAAAGAAAAACCCTACGGTGCGAGTACTCGAGTACTAGTAGTTAGTGTCGTTGAAGTAAACCCGGGAACTGGGAAAAATTTTCACTGCCGGGGGTTCGAATAACAGGGGAGCTATGATAGCCGCCTTCAGATCGAAAAATTGGGGGAGGAGGGAGGGGATCGGGAGTGACCGAATGATTTCGATCAGATAAGGATCGATAAGCTAACGCATCTCTGCCAAGAATACCTACCTACACCAGTCCGATGTTTGGTGATAATATGATATCTAAAATTCATCCTGAATACCAACATGGCTTTAACCAGCAGCACACTGCCACGGCCACACTGCCTCGAAAACCATTCCCAAATAACATCAAAACAAAACAAAACGAGGACTTCTGCAAAGTGTCGGCTTGCGGAGGCACCCCCGGCAAAGACGCGTCGGTAGGGTGCCGGGACTATGAGTGAATTAACAAACATATGATACCGCTGGAGTGCCGATTTCCTGGAGCGTGGCATGGCTAGACATAGGTATGAGAACAGCGGTATTCTGCTGGTGGACGCCGGATAGGCACCGCCATGAAAACAAATTGGATCAAGATATTCTGCTCTATTGTGCATATTATCTTCGACATCTACAACTCTTGTACCATTCATCCTGGTCAAAGCCCCTGCCCCCTCCCTCCCAGAAACATACCGTACCGGCACAGTAACGTGCACGATGGAGCAGAATCTCACTAACATGAGAATGGGATTCTCCTTTTTCGGCCTTGGTTGGATCCGGGTGCGATGGGATGGGTACCCGTACACGGGTATGAAGGCGGATGATCGGGCGCTCAGGGGTTACGGTGGTCGAACATCAAAGCTTCCTTCTTGTTCGAGCGAATTCCCATACCGGTGGCCAGATCCATTCTTCACACTTTGCTGTGGGAGGGGGGTAACGGTGGGGGCCTCCAAAATCCCTGAGTGCCCGATCACACGTGTCTCATACCGGGTACCTGGAGTGGGTGGGATACAGGTGCGAGGTGTAGCTGGGGTGGTATTCGGAGGCGTGACAAGGCATGGTAGGAAAGTACCAGTACCTACTCTGAGGGTTTTTTTTTCGGAGGAAACCCCCCATGTCATTCGATGAGGATTCTCGAAACACTAGCTTTTGTTCTAATGGAAAGGATTAAATACCGACTACTCGTACAGTACGGAAGGCTACGTTAGGCTACGGGTATGGCGTTCGGGGTTTCTGCGGTCATCCCCACATAACATCATCCAAGTACCCGCAAGAAAGTTAGTGAGCGGTTAATTCAGATTAACCCGTGAAATAATCCCTGTCTTTTGCGGGGGCATCTCTTGGTTGCTTGAACTGTACCTGCCTACGGTATTCCTCTTTAGGGTGGGGAGTCCCGATATTGAGGGTACAGTATCATACCTGGCATTGTCCAGGCGCCGCACTCCCAAATCGGAAGCTATTGTGCGATAACGTCTACTGCGCTGCTCTCAAGAACGTGCGCTATGCCATACGGTACTCGAGCACTTGTGGACACGGCAGATAGATACAACTGATAAAGGCTCGGACGGGGAGTTACAGTACTGTACCGTACCGTAGTTGGTCGATACGGTATTATGCATGGGGTAGGGTGACGTGACAA